AAAACTTTTGTGCACAAATTACATGAGTTTCTGGTTCTGTCACCACTTGTGAATAGTGTCCCTTTTACGATCTGTTCTATAGCTACATGCTCTAAAGCATTGGTACTGTAAGAAAGTTATTTTCTGTAGCCACGAAAATATCCTTTCGTAGAGTTGATACACTGAATGTTCGCTGGACTAAAAGATTAGTTGATTGTAATATTAATTCTGCTACAGTTACTATTGGCAGCTGATGTGAATAATTGTAATTATTTATATACATTTCCCTTTCGAGCTAATTTGCTACATAATATGGTGGAGAACGGTGGCATCGTTTTAAACATTATTTGCAACCGCACTCAGTATCAGACTTGTGTGTTTGTCTCATGGGTTTTATTAACATCTTACACATGCATACCAGCTTCTTACTAGGAGCAGTAGAAAGTTTTTCAATGCTATATATAGCAGTTCTAGCAACTGTTGTCTCCTTAATGAGCCATACAGTTTATTAGTAACCCTAATTCCTGTCTCTGCTATACCTCTCCTTACTTCTCAGCACCAGACCTATTACATAAGGTACAGTTACCATTCATTATGCTACAGGCCCCTGAGAAGACTAGAAACACTTCCTAGTGTTTTTGTTTATATACCTTGAGGTGTTTGATGTGTTCCTGCTAGCTTAGCTAACAGTCTCCCTAGGTTTTATGACCCTGCTACAGCATTCCTTTGAACAAATGACAACTGCTTAGTTGTATCTCACTTAAACTAAACAAGGAAAGCCCTTCCTTCTCCCTCCGTCTCTTTCTGATTTTATTTTTGTTTTGTTTTATTTGATACCCTTGTAGTGACCAAACCTGTGAACCATCAGTGCTTTGAGTAATAGTTTGACCACACATATAGCCCGGTCATTAGCTGACCCCTGCTTACAGCCCCGTCAACGAAGTTACTCAAACCCTCTCTTTGCGTTCACCAGCACAAAATCTTAGCACCCTATCTAGCTGCCCCTCACCAGCTATTCACACCTTACACGGCCTACAGAGCCGTTCCCCATACAGATAGCTTAAAGGGATAGATCACCCAAAAATGAAAATTCTGTCATTAATTACTCACCCTCATGTCGTTCCAAACCTGTAAGACCTTCATTCATCTTTGGAACACAAATTAAGGTATTTTTGATGAAATGTGAGAGCTCTCAGACCCTGCGTAGACAGCAACGCAACTATAATGTTCCCAGGTACAGAAACATAGCAAGGACATCAGTAAAACAGTCCATGTGACATCAGTGGCTCAACTTCAGTTTAAAACAAAAATAACATAATTTTTTCAACAATTCTTCTCCCCCGAGCTACGTCTTCTGCCATTTTAGAGAGTATCACAATGCATATGCACGCTTTCCCCTAAGCGTAAACAACGCTGATTACGCAGATTACGTTCATGCGTGCGCTATCTCCCCTGAACGTAAATAACGCTTATTATGTCAATTACGCTCTTGGGTACTCTCCAAAATGGCGGAAGACGCAACTCGGGGGATATCATCAATTATATCAATTACATTATATATAGTTCAATCATGACATCTCTCGGAACATTTTAGCATGGTGATGGATATGACAATATTAATGTATTTGGTCTTGGCAGAACAGATCTGCTACGCTGCTGCTGCTGTTGGTTATTGTGGTAGTTGTAGATTATTGCAGCTGCAAGCAAGTACAGGAACTTGCTACTGCCAATGCATATGGCGATACGGTGCCATGAGTATTTAAGACATACTGCTGCTGCACAAATAGCATATAAAATAACCCTGTAGCAGATCTATACAGGTGGATCTGGGGAAGGTGGCGGGTTTCAGAGAACTCTGAAAGCGCGCTGCAGGAATCTCAAGTTAATGCTAGCTAGCCATATAAATGCAAGGCAGTAAGCTCTTTGGCTGCATATGCAGCATGAACCAATCCGCTTGTGCCAAGTCGTTTAACTCTCTAAATATCATTAGTTACATTAACACCCCGTCAGTATGCGCCATCTAGAGGTTCATGACTGAACTATATATTTATATATAGTTATTCAATAATAACATCGAATGCATCAGTGCAATGATAATTCACCACATTCATTACTGTTGTGCAAATGGGGGAGACAGACTTTGCAGCAGATACACAATACATTTTCATACATGACATCACTGCTGGTGGGAGGGGCCCCACCTCGTTCCTTGTGGAGGGGCCTCACAGATGTGCAGTACGCCACTGAATTAAACCAAATAATTTTGATGACAGACTTTGGCTCAGGCATTTCAGAATGATCAAACCAACATTTGACATGCTGTGCAATGAAATCTTCTAGTTAGTCCAATTATCCAATCACATTAACCGTTGAGTCAGTCATCGTTTTTTGTTGTTGTTGTGCATAGATGGTTTGATTCGTAAATGTGTTTCCAATATAGTCTATGCAAATGTCTTATCAGATAAACAAATAATTATACTCCTCAATTGAGTGCATACGTTTTTTAATGCCCTTTTTTAGAATTGATGCGTATCTTGGTGATTCTACTGTATTTCTATGCAATTTCACAAAATTGCATAAGAAATATGTGGTTGGAAACATATCTAGTTATAAAATGTGTGGGACGGAATAGATGTAATGTCTGTATAGATGGTAGATTTGTTGAAATTGTTATTATAGTTGCATGTTTAAAAATTGATGGTATTGTACAACTGTAATATATGATGATTGAATTCACAATACCTTCATAAAAAAGCAAAAACACACTTGTTGCATCATTTTGTTGAAATGGAGATAAACAATTTTGCTGAATCTTTTGTAGAACAGATACATTGCCATCTTGCTCTGACCAAAATGACTTGGATGCACCTGATGTTGTAATTATGGCTTCTCAACTCATAAATACAAACTTTCCAGGAGGACTTGAATGCAACATCTATAATACTCACACAATGTTGAGTTTAGGGCAGGGCTATCTCTTGGGTTGTGACCCAGAAATGGGGCACAGGTGTGTTCTGACAGGGTTTTGGACAGCAGAGAAAACAATCCTCAATGCAAACAGTATTTTATTTTATGGTAATCTTTGGTATTTTGGCAGAGATTCATCTGTCGCTTGGTACAAGTTAGTCAAATTAGGTGGATGTGAACATGGACAGGTTGCACAGTATGTCCTCATCCTTGAAACCTATGAACAAGGATAAACATGGTTTGTGCCAAGTACAATGTGTTTTGAACTAAATTACTAAAACTAGAAATTGACTGCCAATATGAAATCATTGAAATACAACAAACAGCTCTCAGATTTGCAAATTGTTGGGCTTATGAGCTTCAAGGTTATGTTGATAAATGTAAACATTTGATTTTTGTTTAGTTTTGTACAATTAACAAGTTTGGTACTCCTTTGAATCACCTAAAAGTTAAACCAGTTCAGCACCACTGATTACAATTTCCTATTGTATTTTCTATAGTTCTGTCTTCCAGGCATTTATGTTATTTTCTATTTATTGTTCTGATCCTCCTTTACATGAGAATCCAATAAATTGGATTCCAAGATTTCAGTAACAAATGTTACTGCAACTACATTACAAATGTGCATTGTAGTAATGAGAATATCTACTTAATTGTCATAAAAATAGTCTACGCTCCCACAATATTTATCATTAATCTAATTTTATTTTGCAGTTAAATATGATTTTGGCAATGGTCATGACAGTTTTAGTGATTTTCACACTTACATCCACACTTAAATTAATCTGCCAAAACCGACCACTCAGAACACAAACAATTGTTCAATGAACTTTATTTATGGATTTTCTTTCCTTTTCATTCATCACTTCAAAATAAACATCAGGTCTTACAAGTCATCTCGAGTCCAGCAAGATGACTTAATTATCAGTCATTACTGAGTCTTAACAAGTGCTTGAATGCATAAGGTGACACCCTACTGAGAGAACTCAGTTTAACTTTCAGCTGAAAACACACAAACAGTACTGGACAACCATTGTAGTACATTACACAGTCACCATGAGCCGTAAATGAACAGCCACCGCCAGGGCAGCCCAAAGGTGATGCAAACCAAAAACCATGGCCACATTCAAATAATTAAAATGGGTTGTGAATGTTATCTTTGGATCAGTAGGACAAGGTGGTGGCACATCATGTGCATACACAGCATGTACTGGGTTTGATTATGTCTGAAGTGGGCTACCAACAATAGTAGAATAGGTGTCAAATACACAAGTTTTGAAGACTAATACTACAACCCAAATACTGTTACACACGCAAGAATAGCAAGCCACAGTTCATAATTCATAAACAACAGAGGTTCTTGAGACATCTGAATTGCCTGGTTGCATATGAGGACATCATTTCCATGGTCCTTAGTATAAATGGGTGATTCCCATCAAAACGGTCAAGAAATATCCTGGTCATATTTCAGCACAATAATTAAAAGAAAATGCGCTTATCAGTCATGAAAATAATGCCACAATGCAGTGCAAAAATACACAATACAATGACATTTCAAAAAAAGTTTCCATTGTCGTTATGAAAAATATAATTTCTAAATTAGCTTTTTAATTTCAGGGTGAAATGTTACTTGGAAATTTCTTCCCGAGATTCATACACACACAACAATAGTGTGAAACCCATTTCCACCACAATAGAAACAATACTTTGGTAAATCGAAATTATGAGACTATTACAAATTATGACAAAAGTCAAAATTATGATTTTAAAGAGTTACAATTATGAGATAAAAAGTTAAAATTATGATAAAGCCGAAAAAAGGATTTAAGTTTTAGTAATTTTGTCATTTTTAATCAGTATTTTTTTTGTATTTCTATTTAGCTTTAATTGATTTTTATTTCAGTTTTCAATTATTACATTTTTATATAATTATGACTTTTATTTATGATGATGTTTTTTATTTTTAGACATTTTTAATTGACAGTTTTTATTAGCATTTTTAAAAATATATTTCTATTTTCATTTCAGTTATTAATAATGACAATTATGACCCAATTGATCAATTATGACTTATGTCATAATTATAATTTACCAAAAGCAGTTTTTGTTTTCTTATGTGGCAAAAACTTCCATACAATCTTTCAGTCTATGAAGGAACAATGTTCCCTGTAATGGCTACAGAAGTTGTGTCGCCCCTACAGATGCATCATGGGAAATCCTTGCCCTCAATCACTAGTACAGCTGAAGAAAACACTTTAAAAATTGCATATTAAAGCAGCTGACATGCACAACAGCGAAAAGCAATTTCTCTGTCTATCAAAAACTCCTTCATTCTTCGATACCACAGGAACAATAAGATCTTTCAGAAGAAATAAGACATCAACATAGGAAGCACAAACACAAAATTCATTATAAAGGGAGGAAATATTCTCGGGGGGTGCAACCAAGGAAGACAACGCAGAGAAGAGCGCAGCATTATTTACATTTGCATTGCGTCTGATGAACAGCCGTACATACGCTGACCTTGCAGTGACATTGTGTAGCTGTCAAAGCTTGTAATCTAGCTCGCTAATGCTACATTTTGATGCGTGAAATGTCTGGAAAACAAAACCAACTGTGGTAAGAGAGGTAAATGATACATTCGAATTGTTTTTTTTGGGAACCGGATTTACAGTATACTGATCAGATGTGCCATTTGGATAATAACAGTATATGTCTCCTTTAAAGCGATCACAGGATGTTCTGATCATGTATAAATTTGATTTAATGTAGGCTTCACTGTCTATATGACATATTACTTCATGCTAACTTTTTAAAGGAATAGTTGAGGAATTGACTTGGTTACCGACATTCTTCAAAATATATTCTATGTTCAACAGAAGAATCTAACTCAAACAAATTTGGCAAAACTTGAGGGTGAATAAATAATAACAAACTTACATTTTTTGGGGGGTGAACTATCCCTTTAACAATAACACTGCTGGCAGTGATTAACAACTTTAAAATCAATTTGGAACTTGATAACAGAACTTTAATTTTTGAATGACCAACAAAGCATTCAACGTAAACCACAAACTTTTTTGGTATACCAATAACTTTATCAGCTGACCACCTCATGTGCTTTATACCTAAAAAAAAAACAGTGAAGGTGCAATCAAGAAGAATGTATTCATAAGCATACCAGAGTTTTCACAGTTCCAGGAATTTGACTTTGGGATTCAATTAACGCTACTCTCAAGACCAGCTTGATCGTGGTGGAAGACAAATGCTGACAACTGGAAGCCGTCGCATACAGCAAGCGATATCACCAGCAACTTCAAGGCCTTCAAGGGTTGAAATGAAAAAATGGCAAAACAAATACCTAGCTGAAACAGCTAATCCTATCTTACATAAATCTAATAAAGCCTATTTAAATGCTGTGAAAATGCTGTTGACTCCAGCTCAGTGTGTTTCCAAAGCATCTTCATGAGGATTATCTGGGTAAAACAGCATGATGTTGTGCTGAGCTGAAGGTGACTCTTCCATTCAAAGAATCTCAATTCTTCATGATCCAGCTGGAGGTTTCTTAAGTGGAGTGGACATCTATATTGCACAGTGAGCATACGGGTCCTCAAACACCGGCTGCTCTTCAATGCCTCTCGCAAACAGCTTGATCAATTGGCTGTGGACCCTAAGACAGAGAAAGACAAAAAAAAAATCAACCAAAATGCAACCACTTCACTGCATGATAAAAAAACAACCCATGCTTACTGGAAAAACACGCCAGTGGTGACTTTTCTGCAAAATGATACTACGCTACTTTTTTATGACACTTTCAAAGTGAAATGTCTAGTGAGAGGTGCTAAAAAACACATTCAGTTTTACCCCGAAACAGATGAACAGGAATCTGGTGATGTTTTATTAAGTTGCTTGTTGTACAGGTGCATCTCAATAAATTAGAATGTCGTGGAAAAGTTCATTTATTTCAGTAATTCAACTCAAATTGTGAAACTCGTGTATTAAATAAATTCAATGCACACAGACTGAAGTAGTTTAAGTCTTTGGTTCTTTTAATTGGGATGATTTTGGCTCACATTTCACAAAAACCCACCAATTCACTATCTCAACAAATTAGAATACTTCATAAGACCAATAAAAAAAACATTTTTAGTGAATTGTTGGCCTTCTGGAAAGTATGTTCATTTACTGTACATGTACTCAATACTTGGTTGGGCCTCCTTTTGCATGAATTACTGCATCAGTGCGGCGTGGAGACAATCAGCCTGTGGCACTGCTGAGGTGTAATGGAAGCCCAGGTTGCTTTGACAGTGGCCTTCAGGTCATCTGCATTGTTGGTCTGGTGTCTCTCATCTTCCTCTTGAAAATACCCCATAGATTCTCTATGGGGTTCAGGTCAGGCCAGTTTGCAGGCCAATCAAGCACAGTAACACCATGGTAATTGAACCAGCTTTTGGTGCTTTTGGCAGTGTGGGCAGGTGCCAAGTCCTGCTGGAAAATGAAATCAGCATCTCCATAAAGCTTGTCAGCAGAAGGAAGCATGAAGTGCTCTAAAATTTCCTGGTAGATGGTAGATCAATTGACTGTGGACTTCAGAAAACACAGTAGACCAACACCAGCAGATGACATGGCAGCCCAAATCATCACTGACTGTGGAAACTTCACACTGGACTTCAAGCAACATGGTTTCTGTGCCTCTCCACTCTTCCTCCAGACTCTGGGACCTTGATTTTCAAATGAAATGCAAAATTTACTTTCATCTGAAAAGAGGACTTTGGTCCACTGTGTTTTCCACCTGTATGTATTGTGGCAGTTCCGAAATTAAATGGATAATGTGTTTGTAAATAGCGCACCACCTGCACTCAACTCTACCCTAAACCCATAGTCTTAGCAAAAGCAAGCACAAGATAAAACTAATTTGCTGAAGCAGCCATGCCATTTTGGCTTGCATCTACAAGTCTTTCAGCTCTTTTACTGTGACTACTGTTTCATGGTACTCGTACCTGAGCACTCCACATCACAAGTGCAATGCTGTACCAGGTGAGTTACTGAGCAAGTTTACTATATGTTGTATTACATAGTATTGTGTAAGGATTTGCAGGAAAAAAAATGTTGTAAGCATAATTTGTGATAAGGCTGTTGATGTCTTACTGCCACTAGTGTTCATTTTAGCTGGAAACTGCAGGGAATTGTAAGGCTCGATTTTAATCGATTCTGACTTTTACGGAACAATATAGATTCTTAAATCTCAAGAATCGATTAGTCTAGCCTGTTTTCAGTTAATGACAGAATATTGAAGGGCACCTCCCATCCAATATATTGCAATAAACATTGTGCTTTGCTATTTTTAATATGAAACAAAGTCTCAGATTTCAAATTCTGTCCATTGTATTGCAGTATTCAAACAATAAATTCCGTTTTGGCGCTGTTTAATGTGGAGTGACAGATCGCTGTAGCGCCTCGATCATCAGACGCGGCAGCGCGAGGCGCACGTGAACTGATCATCTACTCCCCATTAATACCAGCTTCAGCACAAAATAAACATGACTAAACATCCGAAGGTAAGTTGTAAGTATGTAATCACTTAATCCGTGTTTTAGCTGCACAAAGACGTCAATATAACGGCTTGTAAACAATGTCACACAACGTCACATTTACCTCAGAAAAACATATTCGGTGACCATAAACTCATTAGTCAGATAGAAAAATAAACTGTAGAGAGGGGCATTTTGCTAAATATATGCACCATATAATATATTCATTATAATTTTTACTGTTCTTCAATGTTTCATTTATATATTTTTATGACAGCCACCATTTAAATGTTTATATTAAAAAAAAAACAAAAACGAACTGAAGTAGAAATATTATATCACTGTAACTTTTATTATAAAAACTTCATTAAGTGTAATTTAAATTGTATAACCTAAAAAAATCAGTCATGTTTAACCTTGTAGCACCAACTGTCTCTCATGTATATTTTACAGCATTAGTTAAGATAATTTTTTTTCCTTGAGAAAATTTGGCATGTGTACCTGATATATATCCAAAATAATCAATATTGAATCAAATCGAATCGGGAATCGAATCGAAAGCTTGTGAATGAAAATCGAATCGTGAAATTTGTGTCAAAACCCAGCCCTAATGTATAGATTGCAAAAATGCAGGTAGAGGCATGTTTTTCCAATGTACCGGCTCAGCTAAAAAGTATTCTAAATTTGTTTAAAATTTAAACAATATAACTGTAATATTTAAGTATAGTGGTTTGTTCAAATCCCTAACCCAAATTATATGCATCAATAACATAGATGCTTACCTTAGCAAAAACCACTAATGTGTTGTGTCCTAGACTAAAACAAAGTTCGAGCAAGTGCTGGTAAGCAATAAATGCAACGTCGTGTTGAATAAAAAGTTTTGTAGTTAAATGCATGCGCTGTTAGGAGGTTCGGGGCTCTTTAATTTCCTCTAATTCCACTCAATACTCTGGAGGTGAGTTCAGTGCCAGGCGATTGCCTTTTTCGGCCGTGGTATCATCATCAATTATCTCAACAGGTTATTTGCTTACTCATTCGAGAAACAATTACTGAAGCTGAAAATGGAATAAATGAATGGACTTCTATTTTAATTAAAGGAGGTGAGCCTTTAACAGTGAGATGGCCATTAAATTAGGAGCATTTCATTGCTACGCATTGTTGACACAGAACAATTGGGCATGAAGGAAATGATTCATTCAGGTGAGCCGTCATGCTGTATCAGGGAGGAGAACAACTCCACTGCAGGCACAATGGAGGGAGTTTTTTAATTTTAATAGCATCTTTTCCACAGGCTCAGACCACAAAATCCATTTATTTACCCTGTTTAGTATGCTAGTGCTGAGATGATACGATCTGGTGCTCAAAAGACCTCAACATTTCAACTACAGCTTCTACTAATCGACAAACACTTTAGTGAAGCCTGTTCATTTTGTGTCGGAGGAACATTTTCTGAAGATGAAAAGTGTTCATATAAGGTCTAAAAGAGACAGTGACATCTCCTAGATATATGAGGAAGTCTGAGTGGGAGTAACACTTATGTCCACACACCCCTTAATTACAATGACAATGATGACTCGCTTGAAGTAATTAGTGTATAATGGCATACTCTTTCCTTTCTGAAACATGACACAGTGCAAAAGTTCTCATTTTCACTACATGCATCTTTTAAATTCATAATTTTTCATAATTTAGTAGAGAGGGCGTGTTATCACTCAAGTAAAGTATCTAGATATAGCATTTCTGCAGCTCAAACTTCCATTGAGTCCAATACATGAACTCATAAATACAAAAATACCGAAATAGCAAACACAGAGGGCATATCTGGACAGGGACACCTACCGGACTTGAATGGCAGTGTGTGGAAGGATCTCTCCATCACAGTTCCAGTTGCTCTGGGAAGGCATGCAGCCACAAGCTCTGTGCTCCCTGCAGATCTGACTAATGAATCGCTTGCCTGTCGCTCCGCTCTCTCTCAGGTCCACTTCGGAATCACACTCCTGGTATCTGGGGGTGAATCGGAACTGCCTGACCCGGTACACCTCCACAAAAGAGTGATCAAACTGAAGAAAGACAGGGAACAAGAGTAATGCTTACTGAATCTCATGTCAAATATCATTAAACACCAATAAATCAGCATATTAGAAGGATTTCTAAAGGATCATGTTACACAAAGATTGGAACAATGGCTGCTGAAAATTCAGCTTTCTCTTTGCTAGAATATATTACTAAATTATATTACAATAGACAACTGTTATTATAAATTGTAATAATATTTCACAATATTACTGTTTTTACTGTATTTTTCATAAAATAAATACAGCCACAGTGAGGATAAGAGACCTTTTTTAAAATAATTAAAAATATCAGACATTTTTCAATTCATAATGTCATGGTAAATTTGGGATCTGTGTATTGTATATTTACAAAATAGGCCAAGAACTATTTTGATATTAGAAATTTGATTATTAGATATTAGATATTTGATTAGAAATAAACTCGCTGGTTAATTTTATTAGGGGCATTTGAATTATGAACTGTTACAAGATTCCAATGCTAATGAATTTCAATATATTTGTGATTACTGGATAAAGATTGTTAAAGTATGTACTCACAAAGTATGTACTCACCATTTCTAGTTGTTTAAATATTTTAGGAGTTAAGCATACAATTTAAAGGGGTCATATGATGCGATTTAAATTTTTTGTTTCTCTTTGGAGTGCTACAAGCTCTTGGTGCATAAAGAAGATCTGTAAAGTTGCAAAGACTAAAGTCTCAAATCAAAAGAGATATTCTTTATAAAAGTTAAGAGTCAACCACGCCTACCTAAAATGGCTCGTTCTAACACGCCCCCACATATCTACGTCACGATGTGGGAAGATTTGCATAACGCCGCCCAAATGTTCATGCAAAGAAAGAAGGCGTAACAGTGCTCTCTCCCACCTTCAATACCACGACTGAGGTGCCCTTGAGCAAGGCACCGAACCCCCAACTGCTCCCCGGGCGCCGCAGCATAAATGGCTGCCCACTGCTCCGGGTGTGTGTTCACGGTGTGTGTGTTCACTGCTGTGTGTGTGCATTTTGGATGGGTTAAATGCAGAGCACTAATTCCTAGTATGGGTCACCATACTTGGCCACATGTCACTTCACTTTTATTCTCGCTGTGGTATTGTTGCCGCCGCCATGTCGTGAAGGCGCTGTGTGTTTCCTTATGAAAGCTAAACTACTTTGTTTGGCCTTCCAAAAGAGGAAGATATTCGCAAAAGAGGACACGACTAGATATCAGTGGTTAAGTTTTATTTACAACACTGTTCCAGAACAGTTCAACCCAAATATTCAGATGTGTGCAGCACATTTTATGGAGGACTGTTTCCTGATCCTGGGAGAGTAGACTACAATGCCGGCTGTTCTGACTCAAAAACTGTAAGTACGTTTTCATATTTAAAGGAGGACCCATTTTATATTAAGTGGCCTTAACAACTATGTACTTAAATTTAAATGAATCATTTGGTACAATGCACTTATTGTGTACATACATGTTTTTACATTGTACTTATATTTTAAAAATACCTGCATGTAATTACATCTATAATTAATTTCTGTAATTACATTTATAATTACACTGTTGACTCATCCCTTACACCTTAACCCATCCTTAAACCTACCCATATTACCAAACCTGTCCCTAACCTTACCTGTATCCCACCTCAATAGCAGCAAAAGTGTTTTCTAATTCACAAATTTTTTGATCTAAGTACATAGTAGTTAAGGCCACTTAATATAAAGTGGGACCTTAAAGGATTTGCCACTGATGATGCAAACGCGAGTTTTGAGCAGTGTAGATTAGCGCTTGTTGTTTGTCATTTCTCCGATCACAAATGCAGACATGGTTTTATGTTTACGCGGCGCGATGCAACGCAACACGTAAAAAGACAGTATAAGTCATTATAATCCATAATTATGTCCCCACTGGATGCAACAAATGCCTCGTTTATAATGGGTTTTAATGTTTTTATCTCGTCGCTCCGGCCGGGATACGGCATCACAGTATGTTAAGGGGCGTAACATTTCTGTCACACGCTTGAGGTATTCGGCCAATCACAACGCACTGGATAGCTGGCCAATCACAGCACACCTCGCTTTTCAGACTGATGAGCTTAGTAAAATTCGACGCATTTCAGAAAGGCGGGGCATAGAAGAGAAACAATAATGTACAGTATGTGGAAAATAATGTGTTTTTTGAACCTTAAACCGCATAAACACATTGCATTACACCAAATAATGTTCTTTTTAGCAACATCATATGACCCTTTTAACTAGACAAATTGCCATGACTTTCAAGGTTCTCTATGAACCCTGCTGTTACTAAGAACTTCAAAGAACAAAATTAGCTGCTCTTTTTCCAAGAAAAAAAAAAAAAGAACTTACAGTTAATGAAATATTCATATTATTTTAAATTTATACTATTATAAATTATATAGTAAGCATTTGGTGGACAGCAGGGATACTTTTTGAAGTGTGCTGGTTAAGAGAGTGTTGCTTTTTTCAGAGGCTTTGATGAAACATGAATGGATTTGCTTCATCGCTTTCATAAAAAAAAATATGTTAAATCTACTGATATTTTCTGTTGAGATGAAACAAGAACCTGGTCTTCCTTATTGGTATGGCGCAGCAGGTGGCACAGGAAGTTGAGTCTGGAGCACTTCCTGACGAGGATGAGGTCAGTAGTTCCATCTGCTAAGTGCGCTGACGGCGACAGACCTTTAGGACTGCGAGGACACGCACAACTCATGCTGGCAGCATTGATGGCCAAGAACTTTCCCCTGATGACCGTCCATGTATCCCCACACTCTGAAATACAATAACATCGTGTGACTACTAATATACCTTTACACAGTGAAGTCTATAGACCCTTTTCACAGACTCTGATACATGCGTCTCCAAGGTTTTTTTTTTTTTTTTTTGAAGTGTTGTGGATAGGCTACCACCAAGAATACCCTAACAACTCAGAACACATCAGAACCTTCTGTTGGTTTCTCCCAAGGTTTTCTGTTTTTTTCCCCCCATCCATTTCTGTCACAGGTGGAGTTTGGGTTCCCTGCCACTGTCGCCTCTGGCTTGCTTAGTTGGGGGCATCTAATATCCAGCAATATTAATGAATCATCTGTACTGACGACTGGATGAGAACTGAACTGAACTGAGCTGGATGATGACATTACTGTTTTTTACAGAGCTGAACTCATTTCATAATTGATATTCTTGAATGGAACTGAATCAACACTGAACTTTTTTAATAACTGCTTTACAGCAGAATTGCTCTCTGAACCATCATTGAACAATTATTTTTCTGTTTGAAACAATCTGTATTGTATAAAGTGCTATATAAAGAAATGACTTGACTTAAAATTAGCAAGCAGTTTTGCACTGCATTTGAAAATGCAAAAATCTACACTGAAAAAAAATG